CATCACAGCAGATCCCAGCACTGCCTCTGCCTTCTGCCATGAGCAGAACGAGCTTGTGCCATGGATTTGATGCCTGAAAATGGCTGAGTGTTGAAGTGAGTGGTTTGGATCCAGAGAGCCTTGCTAACAGGTCCCTTGCTCACAGGATCCAGGGATGGAGGGGCTGGAGCAGGGCAGGATGTCTTTGGAAGGCCAGGAGTCCCCCTGATCACTGCCCCAGGCACAGCTCATTTCCCTTGCAGAGATCTTTCGTGTTTCATCTGCTCGTTCAGGCTTTTGCCTGAAGGGCAAGGACAAAGAATGCAATGAACTTCTTGGCACGGAAGTATATTTTGCTTCACGTTTGTCAATAAATGAGATTAGGTTTCTGTATTTGTGCTGAGAGGCTGCGTGAGAGGCACGTTTAATGAATGCTAAAATAAACTCTCTGGATAGCTGTGGGGTAACAAACACAGCTAAAACTTGCATCTCAGGAGAGATCCTGACATTGCAGAGATGCCAGTTATATGACCAAGCAAAAACGAGTTAGCCTAAAGCTAAAATTACCCTGGATCTTTCATGAAATGATGACTTGGTACCAAAAGCAGCATGTGTATGATAATGACCATGCTGCTTCTCTGCCTGAAAGAACATTTCCTACTCAGTCCTGGGTTACTTCTCCCAGTTCTTCCAGGTATGAAAACTCTCTGTCCAGAATCTGAACCTTTTATCCTAAAAAGATAATCTCAGAAAGATGGGAAGCAGCATGAATTGCCTGTTCCTGGGTGTCCTTCCTATTGCCCACCCTGATGAGTCCTGACTCCCCATTTCTGTCCAGCAGGGCCAGTGAGACCGTGTAGGAACAAGGAAACCTCTCTGCTGTCAGAAACAGACACATGTGGATCCAGGGAGAGTCCTGAAAATCAAGGTTTAAGATCCATGAAGAAACATGGATGGATTTCAGGAGGGTCACCTTGAATCATAGAATCATAGAATCACTGACTGGTTTGGGTTGGAAGCGACCTTAAAACTCTTCTCATTCCACCCCCTGCCATGGGCAGTGACACCTCCCACTGTCCCAGGCTGCTCCAAGCCCTGTCCAGCCTGGCCTTGGACACCTCCAGGGATGGGGCAGCCACAGCTCCTCTGGGCAACCTCAGGTCCTCCCCACCCTCACAGGGATGACTTTCTTCCTAACATCCAATCTAAACCTACTTTCTTTCAGTTTACATCCATTTTTCCTTGTCCTATCAAATATCGTGGCAAATATGGTGGTAGCTGGGGGAGAAAATGGTAAAACTCTGGAGGAATGGCTGCAGATGATGATGGAGTGAGCACTGGGGATTCTTGTGGGAGGTTGGGGGGGAAGGGCAGTGCCACCCCCCGTGCTGTGGTGGCACTCTGGCAGCCCTGCAGCAGCCACCGAGGCTGCTTTCCTGATTCACAGTTGTGCACTTCCAGGCAGGAGGGTGAAAAGGTTTGTTGGTAACCAAAGAAAAGCTGTCAAGAGAAAAATGTTCCTGTGAGCAGAAAATCCTGGCTCCCTGTTGTGGCAAACAGGAGAAGGGGCACTGCTGCAGGAACGTTTCCTGAGGGGGTTTTGCTGTTGGATACCAGCGCTGGCAAAGCAGCAGTAAAGGCACAGTACAAACTGGGGCTGGTAGCCCCAGCACAGAGCCCTTCTGGCAAGTTTCTGGCTCTTCAGTGCTCCTCTCTCAGCTCATTCCTTGAGGAGGGTGCAGTGCTGCTGCTCTGCCCTGCTGGTGGTGTAGGCACTGCAGACCCAGCCCATGCCAAGTGACCTTGGCTTCCATGGGCCTAAAGATTTAATTCTTTTCAATAATACTTCTGCCTCTTCTCCTGGCACACTGCCCTCATGAATCTGCAGACAAGATGTTGCAATGTTCCTGTTGTTGCTTAGGACTTTGCTAAGCTGCAATTCAGGAAATTACTCCTTTTTGTGGTCAAGCTTATCCATCCTACCTGCAGCTGGTGGATAGAAGAGAAAGCAAGAGTGACAGAGATTGTAGTACAATGGAAATAGGTTGATAACAGCTTTCAAAACCCCCTCTTTCCATGTAGCATGTATTTTGTTGGTTTTTTGATTATTAGGACTTCTGGAGAGGTTTCCTTGTCTATCCTATATTTAGAAAATGTGGGCAGGCCATGCCATTTTAAGAAGCGGCCTTGTGTTGGCAGGGCCATTGCTCATTTCATGAGTTGTAACATTTTCCTGTTGGTAGTGTTTTGATGTGCTGTTTGAGGGAGATTCTGTGAGTCACAGCTCTGGTTCTCTTGTGGGCTTAGGTAGGTGTCTTGTTCATTTTGGGGTCTTAGAAGGCAAGAAAGAAGCAGTTGTAATCTGAAGCACTGCCAGCAGTTTTGGTTTTATTGCCAGAGCTGTGATAATCTGGTATTTCCCGTAGAGCCCCAGGTGCTGTACTTGCTTTATTTTCTGTGACTCTCCAATTTCTCTTACCCTTTGTCCTTGCAGGACAGAGCCACACCGTGTGTCCTGACTGGGCCGCAAACATTCACAACATCAAAGATAACAGCAAGCTCCAAACACATCTCTAGGTGGAAATCTCCTTCTGTTTAGTTCAATATCACCATTTTCAAGAAGGAGAAGAGGCCCAGTTCATGATTTCCAAATGAGCAGAGCTGCGTGTCTGGTGTCTATCTGTCCCCTCCTCTCCTCCTTTCCCCTTCTTTTCTTCCTGGTCTTTTTTTGCAGGCCAGACGAGGCACTGAATGTGTTCTCTGGGGATGGAGAGTGCATTTCTCTGGGCCTGTCCCATCTCTCCTGCCACATGCAGCAGCTGCCCCGGTGCAGTCCGGGACCCTGCAGGCTTTGGGTGCTTCCCCCAGCAGCAGCGTTTTTCTGCACTGGAGCCTCGGGGCTTGTCTGCACAGGGAGGCTCTTGCAAAACATGCTTGGCCTAGGATGGGAATTTAAAGGGAAAGAACCGTTCTGCACCAGAGTCCTGCCTTACACCCCCTTATCCTGCAGGAAAACTCCGGTGTTTTTGACTTGGAGCAGTTGCACGCGGCCTGGGCAGCCAAGGGCTCCTGTGGCAGCTCTGCTCTGAGCTGGCCTCGGGCTAGCCCTGCACGGGAGGTGAGGGCTTGGCAGTGGAGGCTGTTCTCTGTGCACCCAGAAAAGGGGCAGCACTTAGGGCAGAGCCTGCCTCAGGCTTTTGTACCCTCTGGAGGAGCCACGTGGAGCCGAGGCCGTGCAGAGAGCCTGAGCTGACAGTCCCTTCCTCAGCACTGCCCTGGGAGAGCTGCCCTTGGAGTCCAAACCTGTCAGAGCAGCCTGGGGCTCAACTGGATGAGCTGTCCTGAGCCAGCAGCCCTTCAGAGCTGGCTGATGGGGCCTCTGGGAGGGTGTTCAGCTTTGGTCCTCACTGAGCGGTTGGACTGGTCACCCAGTTGTCACCTGTGTCCCACCCATGCCAGAGCATGAAGCTTCCTGAAACTTTTTCCTCAAATCCAGTGCTCCAGCACTGTCTCAGTCCCACCGTGCCAAACCTGAGATGCACCTGGGAAATGATGCTTTGGGGAGCTGAAGGTCATCTGTGGGGAGACTGCCTGCTGAGCTAAGGTCTCACATCCCAACTCCTTGCTGTGAATGGAAGTCCTTTGCCTTTGGGAGAGCAGGAAGGGAACCCTGAAACACCTTTCACCCCACAGGATTGAAACATGAGGTCTCTGAAAGGAGAAGGGATACCGTGACAGTACAGAAAGTCATGGAAATGTAGCATTTCCTAGGTCTCTCTGAGGCCAAAGGTGGGAGCCCAGACATCCCTGGTTGCTCCTGGCTGGTTTCATCCCCTGGAAGTTGTCACTGCAGCCACTGAAGGCAAGAGCATAGCAGGGCTGGCAGCAAGGCAGACATTTACATGAGGCACAGGCATGCTGTCATCTGGATAAACTTGGGAAAAATGCAGGCAGGGGTTTTGTGCTTCTGGGCATCAGGGCAGGAGAGCAGCCCTGTCCATGAGAGAATGCAGAAGACTTCCCCCCTGGGAACTGTTCAGAAGCAGTAAGTGATACTTGCTGCATTAAGTGGGGTTCTTGTCTAGCAAGGAGCATGGTCAGACCCAACACGTCAGCCTCCCTCAGCCTGGTGGTCCTCCCTGGCTGCTTTCTGTGCCTGTCACGAGTCCCCATGTGTCACTGAAGCCTCCCCCGGTTCCTCACTGCTGGAGTTGCCCTGCTAACAGAGTTGGCTGCTTGAGGACTCATCAGGGCTGAAATGATTTATTTCTCAGCCATTTACTGCAAACGAACCATTGGAAGGCTTTCAAAAGCCATCTTCTCTTGACCTAAGTTCAGCTGAATGTTTTAGCAGCATCAGCTTTACATAACACGCCAGTAGAGGGAATTCTGGGGGAATAAAGTTTATGTTGATAAACAATCCTTGCTGACCAGGATCTCCCTCTCAAAGTTGAGTGGTTATTCAGAGGATCACTGAGGAGCTGGGAATTACAAGCCAGCTGCCCCAGAAAAATGTGATGACTTGCGTGTTTACTCTGAGTGTCTGATAAAATCCCAAAATATCTTATGACAGCAGGTAATTCTTTGCCAACATTTAGATTTCAGTGAAATGTCTTGATAGAGCCCTAGCACCCCAAATTAATTCCAGTTGGTGAGGACAGGAGAGCATCACATGGGCTGAGAACTGGGTGGGGAGGACCATGAACAATGGATTAGGATAAACAGCAGTGTGTCGAATTGTCAGGGGAGTGAAGGAGAGCGCAGCCTTGGGAGCTAGAGCCGTGCCAGCTGCTGCCCTCCGTGGTGACTGCACAGAGTTAACCTCTGAAAGGTCTCCTTGGGACCCTGCAGCACATCCAGGGAGCCTCTCAGGGCTCTTATGAAGTGGGATCTGTTCATTGTCAGTTACCTGGGAATGTTTTTTCAGAATATCCTTCACGGGGCAGGGCTGCTGTGTGATCCTGAGGTGTCCATTCAGCTTTTGTTCGTGCTCACAAAGACGCTCCCGGTTAAGTAGGTGATATTTTGTCCAGGCATTTATTTACCACCAAATTATACAGGGAGGGGCATAAGTTGAAAAATGAGGTGAGAAGCATAATAGGGCAGGCTGTGCTCAACTGTGATGTTCCATCTTCGTGATTCCCTGGCTTAAGGTGAGAGCTGGGTAATTGCTGGTGTGGGTCCTTGCTGAAAAGCACCATTGGAAAAGCAGATCTGGGATGGAGCCTTCCTCTACATGTGCAGGGGTCCTGTGACTACAAAATCTGGGATGAATTCTTCCTCTGTACATGTGCAGGGGTCCTGCAACTACAAACAGCATCATCTTGGTGAGCAGAAAGGCTTTCTTCTCATGGTGTTCCAGGCCTGACCATTGGGCAGGGGGCTGCTGCTGCAGGGGCAGGCAGAGCAGGAGGGTGACCAGCAGTCACCTTTCATGGGCTGTGAGTGGAACCTCAGCTTCTACATGCTGCAGCCAGGGGGAAAGTGTGACCCTCACGGCCTCAAAGCAGCACTGAAGTGTCTCTGAGCTGTGTGTGACAGTGGAGCTCCTGATGCTCCATCCCAAATAGGCAGAAAAGCAGAAAAGCAGCGCCAGTATTCAGGTGTCTGAGAGGGTGATTCAGGCCCTCTGGATTTCATGGACACAAGGCTGCTGAGAGCTCTTCAGCAAGGTGTGGGAGGTAGTCACCATCTCTAGAAATGAAAGGAGGATGAGACTGGGGCTTAAGGGTGATAGTCAAGGTTTTCAAGGTAATGGATTTTGCAAAGGAAAAAAAAAAAAATTCATCAGCCTCACAGCCAAGATTGAGACAGGAAGGACAAAGAGGAGTGATTGTGGTTATCTATGGTTGGTGGAGCTGGCATGGGCAGGACAAGAGAACAGGAAGAAGGGGTAGTGTAAAGGACAGGACAAAAGGAGAGATGGATTACATCTTTGGAATGATGGAACATCTCTTTTGCACCTGGGGACCAGAAGAGCCTGACGAGTCTCAGTAGCTGCCAGGGTGACTGTGTTCCCCTGCTCAGCAGGGCCTGTACTGACAGCCTTTCTGCCAGGGCAATTTCCAGAGGGAATCCACTGTTGGTGAGATTGTGAGGTCAGGATCAGCTGTATCCTAGAAGCCATCCAGGTGCTGGGGCACCCTGTGGGATGCAGTGTGGATGTGCAGTACAGCTTGGCTGTGTGTCTGGATCTTGGTGAGGTGGATGGGTGTTGCAGATCCCCCCTTGGAGCAGGGATGTGATCTGCTCAATTTCTGAGCAGTTCTTCCAAGCTTATTTTTGTAATCCTGTAATTTGTTGTCCCCCCAAATCCTGATTTTGGATCTTTCCAGGTTAGTTCTGTAGATCCAAAGGCCTATCCAGGCTTTTCCAGGGCAGCTCACCAGCATCACTGTATCTTCTACAGATTCATCAGAAAAAAAGTCCCATGCATGGGGTATTTGGACTGAGCATTTCCTACAAAAATGTTCTCCAGAAGAGGACACCACACTCTTTCCATCAGTTTTTCAGTGTTCTCAGGCCCCTGTTAATCCCCTTTTGGGTTCTAGGTGGTTGCATTTCTCTGCATGGAGCTGCTCAAGGGTGGCCTGGGGAGATGGTGAAGGGGGGCAGTGGGAGTGCAGAAGTGAAGGAGCAGATCTGCAGGAATTTTGCTTCAGCAAAGGGTCTGAGTGCAGCCTCTTCTTACCTGTCCAGCTCCACTGCCTCCTTACTTTCCCTCTGTCGCTCCTGCATGGAGATGAGAACCACCCATGCTTACAACACAGGATGAAACCTGCATTGTGCCCTGTCTTTGCCCAGGTCTTCCTTGGATCCCAAACTCCTTCTGCTTGTTGTCACTGCTGCTTAAAATTGGCATTTGTGGTGCCATCCAGAGGTCCTGGCTGCAGCATTGTTCCCCTTGTGCTATTCACAGCACAGAGTCATAACAAAAGCCAGTCCCTGCCCCAAATATATTAAGTGGGAATCTCTGGGAGGAGGAAATGGAAGCACAGAGAAGGGATGTGAATTGTCCCACTTTACGCAACATTTCTGGGATAAAACCCAGCACTATTAATAGATTTTTTGCTCAACAACCATCTTTTGTTCAGAACTCTGGTTTTCACCTTAAGTTGTTTGTGTTGTGCAGGATCTGCTGCCCAGTTTGGTGAAATTTCCCATTTTGTGACCTAAAGCTAGACATGAAGCAGGTCAATAAACCCATGTCCAATTTGAACTCAGAATAATTTCCCTGCTTGAGCTGTCACAACGTTGCCTGATGTCTCCTCTTTGCCCACACTTTGCTGCAGGATCGTTGGTCTTTGTTTTCAGTCACTTGTGTTCTGCAATGGCTCCTAGAAAAGTACACCTTCCTCTGTTCCTCTTCCCTAAATCTCTCTGTGAAGTAGCTGGACAGCCAGCAAGGGTTGGCTTTCATCACAAAGTCAAATTTGCTTTACCTTCCTTCTCATTTGTTGCCTATGAATATTCTATAAAGTGATCTTTTCTGCCAGAGAAATGTTTGTGGAAACAGAAACTGTTGATTAAATTTTAACGAAGAGTCACAGGAAGCAAATTTTAAAATTGCAACTGTATGTTTGTGATAATAAGAGCTCTGTCATTGCTGTCAGGGATTAGAATTGATGCAGGCCACAAAATCTCTTCACCCAACCAAAATGAGCCAGAGTTTTTTGATTTCTTTTTTTTTAAACACAAGCCACAAACTGCTCATGAGCAATTTACAAGCCAAAAATTAGCCAGGATGGCTTTCCAGAGAATAGTTCTGAAGAATATCGCAATAAGCAATATTCAAATATAAAACGAGGGAAAATAAGGATAAAAAAATTAATCAGGAAGAGCTGACATCCTGGAGACTCCTGGCAGCTGTAAATCAGCTTGGTTGGGGGACATTTCAGTGGAAGCCACCCATTGCTGTGCTCCAGTGGGGGTCCGGAGCTGCTCAGAACAATGCTGGGAAGCCGCACTCTGGACAAGGCAGGAGACACGCTGTGTTAGTGTCTCCACTGGGCAGTGCCCAGAGTCCCAGTCGGAATTTACAGCTCGATTTGCTGCTTCCCTGCAGCCCAGGGACGAGGGTGGCCCTTCTCCCTGGCTCCCTCAGCCGGGCTGGGGATCTCTGCCCGCCGTGGTCTCTCCTGTGCGGCTCCCGCTGGGTTCCACGGTGGGCTCAGCCGCTGGAGAGGGAGCAGATCCTGATCCCAGCGCTCCAGAATGGCACAGACCCAGGGTGAACGGGGCACTGGGACAATGTTATAGTGTGGGGTGGTAATTCCATCCACGCTTGGTGGGATTTGGGCTCGTGGAAAAGCTGTCTCAGGGATGATCTTTAGTTTCTTTCCTGTGCTTGGATGAAAACCAGACCTGCGGTCACTTCTGGTACCAGTGCTTTAAAGCCTCTCTTCAACCAACAGCAAAACTTTTAATCTTTCTAATATAACATTACAGAGAACAAACAAGTCTCTAATGCAAGCCCTGGGGTCTCTTGTGGGGAGATCCCGATAAAAACAGGGCTTTCTGTTTTGGAAATACCCTCTGGTGGATTTGTCTCACACCAGAGACAATGGTGAACTTTCAAAGTAGGCAGAGACATGGGAAAAAAATATTTTAATTAAGACTGCCAGTGGTTGCCTTTGTCACGGAATGCTAGAGAATATTATTTTATAGGTTAAAAATTAAACATCTCTACCTCAGTATTAGAACCTTCTCACTGAATTTGTCTATCCAGATATTAAAGTGCTTTCTTCTGTGAATCCCTACTTTGTGTGGCATTTCACCTGGTTGTGTGTGGAACATCAGGATGTTCTCTGGCCCAGAACTTCCTGGGAAGTTGAAATGGCAAGAAAGTTTTGCCAGCTGGGCTGTTCCATCTGACCTTCACTTGACCTCTGCCTGCCCCGGATTAACATCTTGTAATTGATCCCAAGCTTCTCTTATTTTTCTCGGCTTGCTGGAGTTAAGCATGGTTAAAAACACTCATTAAAGCCACCTCTCACAGCGAAGTCTGCTGGGGCAGGGAAGGAGGGGGATTCTCTGCTGGGATGGGGCTGGTGTGGGCTGGGGCTGCCAGTCCCTCTTCTGATGCCTTGAGAGGCTACCCAGAACAGAGGCTGGACAGTGCTAAAGGAATAAAGTATTTATTAAAAAGGTAAATAAATAAATGAAGTATTTATTAAAAAGGCCTTCAAAGGATACACCTTGGGCAGTGCAAGAGCCTGGCCGAGGCTACACCCAAGATGGACGACAGGTCGCGAGTTTTCACACTTTTGGAAGTTTTGGTCCATTTACATTTTGGGGTTAATTGTCCAGTTACAGCTCCAGGTTATGCAGTCCCATCCTCCCTGATTGCTCTCCTCAATTCGCTGCTGGTTACACTTTTTGGGCCTGAAGCTGCAATGGTGTCCTTGGTTCTTGGTCTGCAGAAGGAATGTTTTGTGTGACTGAACTGTGAGGAGAACTTGCTAACACTTCATATGAAGTTCAGAGTTATATATTAATGCAGTACAGACTCTGGAAAATATGAAAGCAAAAAACTCAGGCATCACTGCAGTGAGGGATTCTGTGGTTCTTGCTCCTCCTGACCTCAGATCTCCCACCTCATTAGTTAATCCCCTGTGTTTGAATACAGTATATTGAGGGAGGAGGACAGAGCTCTTCAGAAGTGCTGTGCTGCCTGAGTGCAGCCCTGTCCTTCCCTTGGACACCTGCCTGTGATGGGCTCAGGGCTGGGCAGGGAGGGACAGGCGTGTATGGCAAACCTGGCACCTCACTCCGATTTGGTCACCTTCACCTGTTTGCAGTAGCCCATGTCCTGATTTACTGAAGGACTTGGTGTGTGTGTTTGGGGCTGTGCTGTGCCCCCACAATGCAGAGTCCTGTTTCTGCAGGTTCTTTGAGTCACAGAATCATCACAGAATCTCAGAATGGTTCAAGTTGGGAGAGACCTTGGAGACCATCTCATTCCAAGCCCCAGCCAGGGACAGGGACACCTTCCACTGTCCCAGGTTGCTCCAAGCCCCTTCCAGCCTGGCCTTGGACACTTCCAGGGATGGGGAAGCCACAGCTTCTCTGGGCACCCTGTGCCAGGTCCTTCCCACCTTCATGGGGGGAATTTCTCCCTGCAATGCCCCCACCAGTCCATGATGGTCTGTCTGCTGTCCTCCCATCCCTGGGAGAGCCCAGGTGGTGCAGGCAGCCTCTGTTAGAGGAATTTCAGCTTCTCTCTGAGCTGTTCTCCTCTGTGTTTTAAAGCAACAGTCCTGTGATTCATAAAGCTGTAAAACATCCAGTAGGGTTTTTTTGGTTTTTTTTTCATCCCTTTCTAGAACCAATGACATTCCACTAATGGTCATTTGCATCTGCAAATTCTTCCCTGTAATCTGAAAGATTTTAGCCTTTAGCTTTGCCGTGATGTAAGGGGTCTATATATGGTTTCATGTACAGATTTCATAATAAACATTTAATGAAATGAGGTTTTTTTCTGCTAACCTAGATTGTTTGGTCTCCTGGGGTGTTTTTTTAAATCACTTTCCTTTGGTGATTGGAAGATGATGGATGCCACCCGGCTCTTTACCAGGGTTCTAGGGCAAGTAATTTGTGCTTAGTGCTCAGTGACTAGAACAAAGGATTAATATATTTTAAAGTTTTGGATGCTTGGGGTAATTTCTTTGTTGGCTGGGTCTGGATTGGCAGTCCACAAAATATGGGTGGGCAATTTTTCTCGCTGATTGTCAAGATAGAGATAAAACTATATTTTATGAATTGCTGTTTCCAAGGTCATCTGGAAATTGAGCAGTTCATAAAACATATCTTTGTTCAAAGATATATTTGATTATATAAAATATGATCCCAGAATCAATTGGGTACAAACAAGATGTTGCCTTTAGGGTTGAAAACACATTGTTAGAGGCATGAA